ACAAATTGACAAATGGGATATACTGAAGATAAAACACCTATGTACATCAAAAGAATTCACCAAGAGAGTCCACGGAAAGGGAAAGCATCTTTAGCAATGACACATCAGACAAAGGCCTTATTACTAAAATATACAATACTCTGCTAGCTTCCAAAAAGAAAAAAACTAATTGCCGTCTGAGGAGGTGGGCAAAGGACCTGAACAGAAGTTTCACAGGGGCAGAAATCTGAATGGCCAACAAACATATGAGAAAGTGTTCCCGATCGTTAGGTATAAGAGAAATACAAATTAAAACAACGAGGTACCACCTAATACCCTCAAAGGTAGCCCAATTCAAAAAATCAGAAAGCAGCAAGTGTTGGAGGGGCTGTGGGGAGACAAAAACTCTCATCCACTGCTGGTGGACCTGTAAGTATGTACAGCCACTATGGAAATGGATCTGGCAATATCTAAAACAGATGGAAATTGAGAGTTACCATACGACCCAGCAATCCCCCTACTGGGCATATGACTTTCTTAACTATAATATTTCGTCTAAGACCTGGATTCTCAATTTCCCATTTCTTAATTGACCAGCCTTTAGATGAATCGACAAGCCTTCAGTTTTTCAGGTAAAGCTTCCGCTCTTCCCTTTGTCACACCTCCCATGGTCCACTGGCAATGAATAAGTGTTCTTCATCCCGGTATGAACTGTAATCGCAATGTGGACTGCTTTGCCTTTCAGATAATACAGCAGACACGCCAAGTGGTAGAAACTGAGCAAAACAAAGAAGTTGAGAAATGGAAAAGACTTGCGCAGCTAAAGAACCGAGAGCTGGACAAGTTCCGCACAGAACTGGACTCCATATTAGATGTTCTTCGAGAGCTGCATCGACAGGGGGTGGTTGTTCCGGTTGCTTTTTCAGATGAAGCGAATGCAGCAGAGTTTTACTAGAAAGGCTGATTTCACAGGGTCTCATTAGAAGCTCTACAGGTAGATGGGATTGTGCCAGCCTAGCAAGAACTTTTCGAACGAGCGTTCTTTCCTATTGCCAGAAAGCAAGTAGTACAAATGCAGTGTTTCAAAATAAATGGCCCTTAATGAATAAGGAAAAAGAAACATGGCATATTTTACAAAAAATCATGAACCACTCGTAATTATGGATAGGTCCCTTTGTGCCAAATGATTATAGCTAGTGAGACTGATTGTAAAATGCCTGGAGTCCTATGATAGACAGGGAAAGAAAAGGCAGCCGACTTCCCACACTGCATTTCACATGATTATCGGATTATCGATCAAGCGGGTCTTCTTGGTGCCCTGACAGCCACTCCTTGATCCTGGGATGGGCAAAGCCCATCGGCTGGTGGCCGAGTGGCCGACCTTCCTCTGTCACTGAAAAAAGACTTCTCCTTTCTGCCCAGGGAGACGGGCAGTTCTCTTGATTTCCCCTGGTTTTCTGCATCCTTGGGGTGTCTCCTTTTTTGCCCTTATCAGGTGAAAATATGTATCTCACAAATATTAGGGGGATTTAATCAATGCTGTAATCTTAATTTATAAAGTGGCGTACTATGTAAGCTACGTATCCTGAACTCCTGTCCTCTTCTTTTGGTACCATTGAAACTTCAATAACATTTTTACTTTCTCTATTTAAAAAGTACTATGTGTCCATTAGAAAACTCACAGACATGCAATACTGAAAGCAGCTGGGTTGTTACTGCTCATTTGTAAATCCCACTTCCCAAGCAGAAAGTGGGTATACAGTACAAAGAGTGGGGGTGAGAGGAAGCTGTAGCCCCTGTGCTTTTAAATGGTCTGTCCTAGCACTGCCCAGTATAAATGTGATTTGACCCACCTGTTAATGTGTAATTATCTAGTAACTATATTTAAAAAGGGAAAAGGTGAAATTCATTTAATAGTATATTTTATGCTTTTTAATATATCTAAAATACCAACATTGCTATACAGTTGCTATGTTTATATTATTTATGCAAAGTCTTTGAAATCTAAGGTATATTTTACTTACAGAATCTCAATTTGGAATAGCCTCATTTCAAAAACATAGTAACTGCATGCTATATTGCTCAGTACAGCCCTAATCATTACAATGTAGACTTTTTTATTAAAACTGGTTAAATAAATCATAGTGCAATTAAGTGTATCAAATATGAAATATAGAAATTTGTAAAATATCGTGAAATGAATGTAATATACAGCAATTTTCCATGTTCTTTTCTAAAAATGTAGAGTATTATAATTTGCCATTTTATTTTTTTATGTGAAGTAACTTTATTGTCTTAAGTTATAATATAAATCATCTATTTTGCTAATTATCTGAGAGTGCCCTTTGTTGCTGACACCTCTCCATTTGTGCAGAGATCTTTGAATGGTTCTCCTGCTTGTGAGCCCATAGCATCTGGTGATAGCTTCTCCCCCCTACTTCGTGGTGACTCCGTGTGTGCAGAGTAGAACTGCCCCATTGGGTTTTCTAGACTGAGACCTTTTAGCAGTGGATCAGGTGGCCTGTTTTTCCAGGTGCTTTGGCGATGTTCAACTTAGTAGTGTGTTTGTGTTAGTCTGGGTAGACTAGAGAAACAAGTTCATAGACACTAATATGTGTATAAGAAAGAGCTTTATATACAAGAGCCATTGAACATTGAGAAAACACCCCAGCTCAGTCCAGATCAAGTCCATTAAGCCCGATATTAGCTCATATGTCTGATGCCAATCTATAAAGTCCTCTTCAGACTCACACAACATAGACAATGACGCCGACTGCAGGAAAATCACAGGCCAGTGGATGGAAGGTCTTGTGGATCCAGTGGCAATGTAAGCATCTCAGCGCTGGCTGGGGTCTCCACATGGCTCCTCTGGCTCCAGAGCTCTTGCGTAGGGAGTGAACATGTGTCCCACCTCCAGCGAGCAATTTATCTCCTTAGCGCCTCCAAATGACCTCATCAAGCTTTGACCTGATTGACAGGCTAAACTCCACCCCTTCACTCTTAAATCTCAAATTGACACCAGATTATGTAACTACCACTGTTCCAGATGGCAGCCAAGTGTTTGGACATTTGCACCACCCAGGAACTGCATGATGCATAAACCCTTAGAAATCCAAGTTTTATATTGAGGTTCCATCCCGTATTACAAAAATCCTGAATTCCATAATTTACATATACAACACAAGGACTCTCATGAGTTCCAAGATTCACAGGCGTGTTGGTTAACAGGTATTCTCAGAACAAAGGCACTGTGTAGTTCCATTGTTACTCAGCTGCTGTTGGCTTTGAAGAGCTCCTTACCAGTGAATATTATAGGGAGCAAAATCTTTCAGTCCTTCCAAGTTCATTGACCATTCTATTTTGGTACTGAGATCCACTTGATGAGTAGCAACATTCCCTTTCAGTTTCAGTCGAAGAGACTTTAATCAAAAAGCACATATATTCTCACTCAGCACTTGCCCAGCTTGGAACAGATTAAACCACAGCCTTCATTAACCTGTTCCCTCCACTCTCACCTAAACCATAATAAGTCATTTTTTTCTTTGTCCAAGTTTGCTGAAAAATCCATCACAATCACCTAAATGGTTTCATACAGTGGGCAGACACATACTTTTCTCTGCCACCCATTCTTGCTTTATGATAGAATATAAGAATTAGATCCATTGAGGGGCCAAATTCAAGGGACATTCATTCTACAAAAAGGAGAGAAACATAAGGTCTCATTCATGGAATAAAAGGAGTTGTTCCTAAATTCCGGAAAATGGCAAATGGTCAGTACTTTGTGGAGAACTAAACTGGAGAGCGTAACTGGAAGGTTTGCCTGCTTGGGCCACTAAAACCACAGGGCCTGACCAAGTGGAGTAAGTCTCAGGAAAGTTCGTGCTGTCTGGTCTCTCTGCCAAAACCTTGGGGGATTGACATTGTATCAAGAAAAGCCTTATGAAGATACCAAAGAGCCAAACTCACTGCCGCCAAGCCATTGCTGACTCATAGCAAGCCCCTGTGGGTTTCCAAGACTGTTTGCCCAATGAGAAAGCCCAGTCTTTCTCTCGAGGAAGTGCTGGTGGTTTTGTACTGCCAGCCAAATGGTTCGAAGCCCAAGGCTTAACCACGACACCACCTATTTACAGTTCCTGCCAGAATTATCATTCAGATCACCCACTGTTCTTAATTTTAAGAAGAACATATTTGACGCCAGTTTCCCATGTCCACCCCTCACTCCGTGCCCAGAAGCCAGCTGTCCATCCCGAGCCCTTTAGCCAACGTTGAGGCCATCTCAACCCCCCTGACATGGGGAACACTGGCCAGCTGCTTCCACATAATGCTCACAGCTAGCCTAGTCCTGTCCATGCTCAGTCAGCCATCGCAGCGGAAGCCTATCTCCATTCGAATCTTACTTTTGGGTCAGAGGCTCAATAGCTTCCTAATCCTCTTCCCACACTAAAAACTGGGACAGCCGTGCCAGGTAATTTTTCCTCAAGCTCTGCTTGTCACCTACCACTTTCCTAACCCACCTGGTTTTTTAGGCAGACAAATCAATCATTAGGCCTCAAGGTACGCCTCGGCCTCTCCTTACTCCATTCCAGACCCCTAATCTTTAAAGAACTCACTGCCATGCAATCCAATCGGACATAGCAATCCCAGATTTCTACCATTCCGGAGACCAGGGGTCTGAGCAAGGTCTCCACTGATGAGACTGCCCTCTTCTGGGGGCCACAGGAGAGAGGTTGCTTCTTTTCCCCTACCAGCTTCTAGAAACGCCCGCTTTCTGTGGCTCTTGCCCGCTTCCTTAACCTAGCCAGCAGCTTTGCATCTCAGCATTCCTCACACCATGGCACCCTCTGACCGAGCTCGGCTAGGAAAAGATCTCCGATTATTTGTTTAATCTATTATTAATTGGGAGTTAATACAAGCAGTATTGTACAATTGCTACCACAATCAGTTTCCAAACATTCTTTCCTTTCTGGACTGCTTGACAGCTGCTCCCTTTTACACACAAACACACACCCCAATCCTACTTGCCTGCCCTACAGCTTCATTTCTGGGTTTCATACACTGACAAACAGGAAAACATGCAACACAACTAAGAGGGTGACCCCCAATGACATAACACCTCAGAGATAAACACTAATCGGAACAAACAAAAGGAAATATTGAAAGGCAGGCCAGGTCCAGCGGGCATCAGAAGGGGATCACCTGACAGTATTTGAACTGTTCAAGTCAGGTTTACCCTTTGATCTTTTACACTCATCTCTCCAATGAACTCTGTTTAGTAGCCACTGTCCTCCCGTCTCTCAACTGTGCACAGAGGGAAACCACCAGAGGCTTATTTCCTATGCAGTTCCCACAAAGGTGTCTTTGGCGTCCAGTGCCATCCACAGCCTTCTGCAAATCGAATTCTCACAATTTAGGTTCTGCTACTCATCCCTCCTTTGACTTCGCATTCTGTGATTTACCATCCTTCCTGTACTTCTTCCATGTGGACTTAGACATCTCACTTAGATGGCTGCTTGTTTGGAGACAAGCCTTTAAGACCCCAGACGCAATTTTATCTGTTACCCAGGCACCATCTAAGCTCTTCGCCACAGTTTGCTGCAGCACCCATATCTTCTGTGCTCGCTTCCTGAGGGCGAGTATCCAGCAGGGCCATGATGTAAGACTAATTTTTCTGGGAGCTAGGGTTGGAGCTAGGACTCAGTGTGAGCCCCAAACCCACTCCTGGATCTGTGATTTTTTGTTTCTTTGTTTATTGGCCTTTGACTCCCTTACAAAGCTTTGTTAATTTATGGTGGAATGGCTTGTCGATTATCCCCCTGGGGCATAATGATATTCATTACTATGTCTTTGATTAGCCCTGTGATACTAATTTTTTAAAGCACTGTTGAAAGAGGGATATTGGGCCAATGTAGACTACTTCTCACAGTACCTGAATTATTCGTTTGTACAGAATCAATCCTTTTGTGGCTGGATGCTATTTACACAAACAATAGAGTTAATTATTAAGGAAATTTATAGTCATCATCACTGAGAATGTCTGTCACCGGGATGCTGGAATAATACAAATCTTAACACAGCATACAGGCATTGATGTAGCCAGACCACGATTGGTACAGCTGTCTTCTGCTTCCTCAGACACCATGTATTTTCTGACTTAAGCCCTCAGGTGACCAGTGAGTCTGAGGTAGCATCCAGTTCACCCAGTGGAGTTTCCACATTGGATCTCACTGATGTGGCCTCTGGAGTATGGCACGCACCTTAAAGATCCAGGATTCAGTGTCCCAGCATTTCCCGGCAGCTGGCCTGGGTCCACAGGATGCTCCCAGAACCCCAGGTCAATGTGGCCCATTCGATGTATACCACCAAAGACATTCCTCCCCTCCGCTAGTGACCCCCCCAAAGCATTTTTAATAATTCTTCCCCCCACCTCCACCCCCCACTCCCACCCCAACTGCACGTCGGTCCTCCCTCTTTTCCACAGCCATGTCGGCTCCCTTTCCCCTCTCCTGACTTGTTTTTCTCATCAGTCTCCCTCATCCCTCTGATAGGGCTGCCCACCTGTCTGGGAGGGAGCTCATCATAGATTTACATGACAGCCACTAAGTAGACAATATCTCCTTCCCCTCCCCTAACCATTTGATCCCAGCTGACCTGGGGTGCCCTCTGGACAAGTGACATTCAAAATCCCTCCAGGGAGGTGGTGTATGGCTGGCTCACTGGCACCGGGCAAGACTCTCCACCAGGCTGTCTGTACCCCTCCCCATCTTCAAAGACTTAATCACACCTGCAAAGAAAGCCCTTGTTATTGGATAAGCTAACACTCATAGGCAAACATCTTTACTCTGCTTACCACACTGCCTTCACTCACCAATTTCTGAGCTTCTGACCATCCTAAGCCGCCACCTTTGCTGCGCCCTCCTTGGCTGCGGCAGACCACTCTGGCACCTCCTGATTTTCTCACCCCACTCCGAATGTATCACATTCTTCTCTCAATGGAACTCATTTTGTGCATCAGGTCTTTCTATTGTTCTTATTGTTATGTACGGGTACATGTGCCACATCCCCTCCCTGTTCATCTCTGTGTCTCCCTCCCTGCCATTGAGTGGATGCCGACCCACGGCCACCGACAAGACAGGGTAGAACCGCATAGAACCGTCCCTGTGGGTTGCCCAGGCTGTTTACATGAGTCAGAAGCCGTGCCTTTCTCTTGCCGAGTGACTGGTGGTTTCGAAGTGTGGATCTTGCGGCTTGCAGCCCAATGAGAAACCACTACATCATCAGGGCTCCAGGTTCCCTAGAACCTTCCAAAAGAATAAACCTTTTGATGGGGGGCAATACTGACAAGGAGGACCCAGCCTACAAGTTCTCTTGGAGGGAGGTCATTGCAACGCTAAGAGAAACAGGCTTCAGGGGCCACTGCTATACTGTGTAATGGAATTAACAATTCATCACTTTTTAATGTTATAACACTAAATTTCTGAAATTGAATGACTAACCAAGATTTTAGTTTAAAACAAAAATCTGAGAACATTTCTGTCTTCAAATTGCCTTGTGTCCAAATGCAAGATGCTTCAATAAAGATAAATGTGGTGCTGCAAATGAATAGGATTCATATACTCTCCCAGATATAATGATGTGGAGAGACTCAAGAAGACACACACAAAAGCGTTCATAAGGTTGCTGGGCCTTAAACTACTCACAGGAGAAACCATTGCTCCAAGTAAGTGTCACGGCAGCCAAGCCGAGCGCGAAGGGAAAGCTGAGTACCCTGTGCATATTATGATGCTAATTTGTTAGGTGTTCCAATTCCCTCATTGTGCTTGTTCCTAAAAAATATGGAACAGGGTATAGCAATTTGGGATCTAGAAGAAAAGCAGGCTAAACCTATTTCCATGCTGCCAGAGCACTGAGCATGCTTATACTTGCTCTTCAAATATTCTTCCTGAGAGTCATGGGCTTTGAGAAGGCAGCAGGGTAACTGTGTTGTCCCTCCCCCCGCCTCCCCCATAGATAGAACACAAGCGTTGGACTGGAGGGGACCAGTGGAAATATACTCGCTGAGTTGAGGCCCACTTCCTTGGGTAGCCAAAGAAATCACTGGGATCTTTAAGAAGCGTGTGGCATCCCTCCAGTTGTTAAATGACAAAGCAGTACATGAACAATCAATAGATTGTTAAGACACAGCTGCATATAATTAGCATCATAAGTCAACTGGAGTATATTTTGATATTTGGAAAATAATTATCCCATTATCCTTTGAAAGTGCAGCAATTGCCATGGAAATGATAAAAGCTGTGAAATCTTGCTGATAATAAGCAATAGAATAAACACTTCTAATTTTTTAGAATCCTTGACAATGCACCTGGAAGCCAGATATCATCTGCAGATCCCTGGTAAATGCAGGGCTCGCTGCTGCCTTCTCTCGCTTGCTTTGTTAATGGCCATCCAGCCAGTCTGGCTCCTGGCAACCCCACCTCGGTCACAAGTAGAACTGTGCTCTAGAAGGTTTTCCATGTCTGCTTGCTTGAAGAAGATGGCCAGTCCTTTCTTCCAAGGTTCCCCTGGGTGGACCGCCAACCTTTGTTCGGAAGCCAAGTGCATTAACCATTTGTGTCACCCACTCAAGCACTCCAAAAGATTGCAAAGGACACCACTCCAGGGACTACTGCCTGACAGACAGAAGAAACAAGTCAATATTCCAGACATGGAGATGCTTTTTGTCAGGCAGGAAGATCAGACATGCATACACAGGCCAAATATAACAGTGCAACAAGGACATTATAATGTGTGAATGGAACAGGACAGAAAAATTCTTTACATTTGGGACCCGGGCAGCCTGTTTCAGAAAGTATGGCTCAGGATCAAGATTTTTAAAAATGATCAAATTGGGCAGAACACAATGCAAAATGGGGAATTTGAAAACTTCAGGTGCTTCAAGTCCTCATTTTCAGAAAGCTAGGTTGTGTCATCTGCATATCAGGTTGTTCATAAGCCTTCCACCAATCCTCATGCCACATTCTTCTTCATATATTACCACTTCTCTGATGATTTGCTCAACATACAGAATGAACAATCATGGTGAATGGATACGATCCTGGAGTACACCTTTTCTAATTTTAAACCATGCATATTCCCTGTTCTGTTCAAAATGTCTCTCGATCATGTTCAAGTTCTGCATGAGCACAATGAAGTGTTCTGGAATCCCTATTCTTCTCAAGGTCATCCACAGTTTATTATGGTCCACACAGTCAAATGCCTTGACAGTCAATAGCACACAAGTAAACATCTTTCTGGTATTCTCTGCTCTCAGCCAAGATCTATCTGTCATTAACAATGATACCCTTTGTTGCACGCCCTCTTCTGAATCTGGCCTGCACCTCTGGCAGGTCCTTGTCAATATACTGCTGCAACAATTGCTGGATGATCGTCGGCAAAATTTTACTTGCATGTCATATCAATGATATTGTTCTATAGTTTGAGCATTCTGTTGTATCACCTTTCTTTGGAATGAACACAAATATGGATCTCTTGCGTCAGTTGCCCAAGTATCTGGCATCAAAGAGTGAGTCCTTCATCAGCTTGTTGAAACATTTCAGTTGGTGTTCCATCCATTCCTGAAGCCTTGTTTTTGGAGATGTCACAGTGAGGTGGGGCCATTTCCTAAGAAATGTGCAGTTGCTAAAAGCTGAAAAAAGAAAAGAAACAAGAGGGCCTGATGATGTCTTGATTTTTAACCCAATAACACAGAGTTTTGATTTCTGAACTCCAGAAAGATTAGAGAATAAACTTGTGTCATGTTAAGTCACTCATTTGTGGGTATTTTTTAATAACAGCAATGCTGTCAGGTGCCATTGAGTAGGTTCCAACTCAGTGCCCCAGAACAATACTACCCTGCTTTGTGCCATTCTCACAACCGTTGCTATGTCTGAACCCATCGTTGGAGATTCTGTGTCCATCCATCTTGCTGAGGACCCTCCCCTTTTTCACTGACCCTCTACTTTATCAAGTGTGATAGTTACATAACTTGATAAAAAAGTGCAGGGGTGGAGGCTAGCCTATCAATCGGGTCACAGCCTGATGATGCCTCCTGTGGGCATGGCCTTCTCACGAGGATTCTGGAAACAAGTTCTCTGTCTGTCTTGGTCTTCTTGTTGGCAAGTCATGGGACAATTGCTGAGACATGCAAGAACTCCCTGTCTCTGCTTCACCTTCCTGTTAAGGAGCCACACTCAGAGACCCACACCAGTGCTGAGATGTTTCCACCTCCACTGGATCCACAAGACCTTACACCCACCAGCCTGTGGTCTTCCTGCCTTCGGCATTGTTAAATGTGTTATGTGAGTCTGAAGATGAATTTATGGACTAGTATTGGGCTTATGGGCTAATATTGGATTTATGGACTTGATCTGGACTAGGCTGGGCTGTTTTCTCAATATACAATTGCTCTTTGATAAAAAGCTCTTTCTTAGATACATGAGTCTCCCTGGATTTGTTTCTCTAGAATAATAACCTTCTCCAGGAACTGGATAAGTGCATGAGATAAAGTCTCACCATCCTCCCTTCTAAGGAATATTCTGGCTATACTTCTTCGGAGATACATTTATTCGCTCTTTGGCAGTCCACCATATACTTAACATTCTTTGCTAACACCATGATCCAAAGGCATTAATTCTTCTTGCTTTAGCCAGCGTTCACATGAATATGAGGACAACAGTAATAGGGGTATAACATAGGAGCCAATGTGAGCATGAAGTACCTGCTGCCTGAAGTGTTGTGAGAAATAAAACCCTTTGTTCCTCATTCAGGAGTCTATTCTTCTGGTTGCAAGCATGAATCTTCTGTGCCAATGTATTAGATTGCAAGCGCAGCAACATCTTCAACCCTTCAGCTCTTGGTTTTGTTCATAAAAACAATGCAATTTTTCCAGCTTTTAAATATCTGTTTTCTGAATAATAAATCTGCTTCTAATAAGGTACTACTTAAAAGCTCTGAACATTAATAAGAAATAGCTCAAGCTTTATGTTTGACTATGACTAATAATATTCAGATTAATAGATAATCATCAAAATAATTCTTTACTAGTTTCACTGTATTATAGAAAATATTCAGGAAAACATACAAGTATCTATAAGAAAGTGTTAAAGCAGATATAGTTATTAAGAACTATTAGCACTTTGTTCTATTATTTCATCGGCCTCAAAGAATAAAACTTTTCTCACAGACATTATTATGGGAAAAGGTTATTAATTCAGTTATAGTCCGATGCATGATTGTGCCCACCAAGGTGATAGACTCAATGGAAGGATTATAAAAGAGGTAGAGAGTTTTATGGAAATCACAGAAATAGATGTGTGAGAACAAGAACACAGAGAAGATTCCTGGGCAATCAAATGCATTTATTTTACAGCGAAAGCAAGACATGTGCTGGATAAATTCAAAATGAAAATGCCAGGCATACAGCTGCGGGCATAGGCAAACACAGCTATGGCCAATACCAGTGTGCAGGCTTGTTGTCTTCATGGTATGGACACAGTCCAGGCCACCTGCACATTATCTTGGTGGGGCATTTTCAACCTCCTCACTTTATCAACTCAAAGCTCACATGCCAGCCATCTGACCATGTCCTCATGCCTGTAGGAAATAGACAGCCTGGCCTATCGCACTTTTCTTATTCTGTGGCCACTGGCACTCAGTGTGACCAGACACCGGTGCATCAAGCCAGAGACAAGCAGGGCAGCACCTCTCCCGACCCCTCTGGCTCAGTTGGAAACTTTCTCGGGAGTTCTTGGGGACCGAATTGCTGTGGGAGAGACTGTGGGTTAGGAGGAGCTGTCCATCACGTGTGAGCAGGAGTGGCCTCAAGTTCTCAGACAAGCAGTTTGAATATGACCCAGCAGAAACGCTGGCCAACAGTCTCCTGACCACCTAGCAGATTGCCAGGCCCCTGAGTGAAAGCTGGGCCCAGCTTTCGATACTTGAGGGAATCCTAAATCAAGAGCCAGGAGGTAGTGCTTTAGTTTATACTACTTGATATATATCTCAGCCTCGTCTAGATGCAAGGTCACAAATCCACCAAAAATCAGAGCTAAAGGGATAGTGGAGCCACCTCATCTTACAGTAAAAAGTGTGGCAACCCAGGCAGCTTGGTCAACAAGTTGGTTAAGGGCACAGAACATGTCCATGGCAGGGTCAGCTGAGAAAGCAGTACTCTAACCTCCATACCAGAAGCCTGACATCACATATTTGGCCACATTTTTTCAACAAGGATAATGGACGAGTGTAAATAAGCCAAAAAAGCCCCAGGTATGTTCAAAGGCAAACAAATATCCTGTTTACCATCCTTATGAGCTCTGTTCTCGCTGTCTCTCTTTCTCTTACACACACACACACGCACACGCACACATGCGCGCACACAGATAAAGTTGTCTTGCTATACAAAGACAGAATTGATATCTCCACCAAAGCCTTTACAAAGCATGCCTCTTAATCCAGGTCTTTGTGTGGTGTCTGGAAAACTGGCTTATTTTCTAAAATGGGTGGGTCAGAAATCAGAAGATCATCGTCCCCAAAGGAGTTCTGGTCTGTGTTAATGAAGTTGGGAAGCTCGAACTTCATGAGCCTGCTCAGCTCCTCCTCTGGCCTTCCGCTGCTCCGGGGGGCTTCTTGGAAGTGAACATCATTGTCAAGGGCTGTGGTCTGGTGACAAGACTTGGGCCTGTCCAAGTGGTCCACTTCATTGATGTAGCAATGAAAGAGGGACCTGGATTCCTCGTTGCCCTGTCGAGAAAACAACTTATCTGGCTCCAAGGGTCTTCCAAAATCTGACACAAAGCTGTTCATTCTGAATCTCTTTTCAGAAGATTCTGCATTGCTGTAAAGGAAGGAAAAAGAACAGATTGTTTGTGCTGCAGTTCATTCACTGAAGAATCCTGGCTTTCTGTACATCGGGCAGGCCAGCCTATGTCCACAGAGAACATACAGAGAACCACCAGAAATGAGAGCGTTCTGAAAGTGGGTAAATGAACTCTGGAAGAGTCTGGGGTGTTTTCATTGCTGTTCTTTTTTGGTGAGCATCCAAGCACTAAACCACAGAACCACCAGGGCTCCTCCACTAATATTAAGGGCAGTAAAATTGTCCATTAGGTCACCGAACCAGCGAGTGCTGGGAATAGGATGAAGACTCAAGTTCTAATTTCTTGTCTTATATACTTTGGACATGTTGTCAGGAGGGACCAGTCCCTGAAGAAGGGCCTCATGCTTGCTAAAACAGAGGGACAACGAAAAGGCTCGCAAGAAGATGGATTGGCACCATGCTGCACCAATGGGCTCAAGCATGGGAACAATTGTGAGGATGGCACAGGACTGGGCAGTGTTGTGCGTAGGGTTGCTGTGGGTCAGAACAGACTCAATGGCACCTAACAAAAATTCCTTGTTCAATTTTTCATAAAAAATTAATATTTCAGTGGGTGTGAGTGAATGAATGAATGCAATAATTCTCATTTTGAACCATGAATCCATGAAAGAAAGAGCACAGGTGTAAACTGGGTAACCTGATAGATAGCCCATCTACCTAAGTCACTATCCTCTCCAGATTTATAAATGGGTTACTCTTTCTCTAACTCCTGAGCAGGAAGAATCATGTCTACATATCTTCAAATCCAGCACAGTGTCAGGGAAGCCAGCCCCTAACAAACCATCACAGGTCCAGTAGGCACAACTGTATAGCGATAATAAGTAAAGATTATAGTAAAGTCATAGAAAATAAGAGATAGATATATAGAAAATAAGAGAGTCAGATACATTTCATGGTAGCATGCTCACCTCAGCTCCTCTTTGTGGTACAAGTGGAGAGGGCTGGAAAGAGAGCAGGAGAGAGGAGGGGGGAAGGAGGACAAGGGGAGAAGGGATGGGAATGAGGACCAGGGGAGAGGGGGTGGGGTAGGGGTGGGTGGGCCGAGAGCTCTTTATTTATAACCAAGGCTTATATACCTTTGGGGGGCGTACAAGCCCCCTAATTAGAGGTAAAGACAGGAAGGGGTTGTACTACAGGTAATACAGTAATGAGAAGGGACCGATCTAGGGGTATACATGCAATAGGAAGGGGAGGGATTGAGGGTACACTTGTAACAAAATGGGCGGATCCTAGATTCATGAATGCAGCCTAACCTTGATTGCCCTTGAGCTGGAACTCCAAGATTTCAAGGGAAGCCATCTTTGTCCCTAACAGCAGGGAGTGAGCCCCACCTGTGGTGGGACCAGACAGTAGTCTGAAGGCTGAATGCCTTCAGGGAGGATGTCTCTTAAGCATCTGACCTCCCACCACGTGCTGGCAAACAGCCTCTAATGTTTGGCATCTCTTTGGTGGAGACAAAGCTGGGGAAGAGTCTTTTTATATCCCACAGAACAGACTGTGAAAAAAATTCAGTGAATTATGATCTCTTTAGTGACTTCAGACCTTAAGTCTCTTTCCTCCCATTCCACCACTCAGTATAAAGGATTTATGACCAAATGCATTAAGAGGCAAGGGAGCATGGATTCAATTTACAGGTCCAGAAACTTTTGTTATATATCACTAACCTCCAAATGATCAAGACGCACCTGGATATCAGGGGTCAGTCATGCTAGCAATTTTGCAATTCAGCCAGCTGAGGCAACTTTACTCTGGATCTAGCTCCTCCTGTGAATACCTAAGCAACAGTTCTCCTTCCTTTAGTCATAGCCTAGCTAAGAAATCTCATCAGCTAAGCAGAGGTGCTGTGAAGATTTGGTATTTTTCATAGTGTAGCATTCATCAGGCCTTGTTTTATAAGTTCAGGGAAAATAAAACTTAAGAGACTGACATTCTCGGCTGCAATGCAATTTTGAATGGTCTTTTGTGTGTATGTATTAAAAGTGATTTTTCCCTCCTAGTTGTCACTTTTCTCAGCATTCCAAGATATTTGAGAACAAGGATGAATGTGTCAGAAGCCTATGATCATTAAGTCACAATGTCACGAAAGAAAAAGAAGGGTGTAGAGTGTTGGGAAAAGCATGACTGTTACTAATGAGGCCACAGTATCCTCAATTCCAGGAACAAGAAGCAATGAAGAATAACTTTTCCGCCTGCCTGGGCATCATCTGAGTATGAACATGGACTCAGAAGCACATGAGTGATATGGGCTCCATTTTCTCAGAATTAAGAATTGGGTCCAAAGAGAGTTTTGTCTCGTTCCAGTGGCCATAAAGCACCCACTTCTAAGATGCTTCCCTGAGGCTCCATGACCATCCCACTCAGCTTTTTCTCAATCCTGATCTCTTGGTGTGTGTGTATGTGTGTGTGTGTGTGTGTGTGTGTGTGTGTGTGTGTGTGTGTGTTAATTTTGTCCCCTTGGCAAGGTCAACCTATGTTGCCTAGTTGTTTTGTACACTAGTTCAATTGCTGTTATAAAGAATTAAACCAAATTCCAACCCACAGTGACCCTATCGGTCAGAGTAGAACTATCCCATGGGGTTTCTGAACAGCAGACAATCTCATCTTTCTCCTGCAGCATGGCTGATGGGCTTGAACCATTGACCTTGCAGTTAGCAGCCCAATGCTTAACCTAATTGGCCTGGTGCAACCATTTTGGCACACATTAAGAGGAACATTTGTTCAACTTTAATTTTTCAGTCAGAACTGTGTAAGCTGAACCCTTTGAGATGTCTATGGTGTTGACATTGTTTTTCCTGTTAATCGACAGTCCTCATCACTTCTCGGCCTTTTGGCTAAGATCAAGTGTAGAATTGATAGTCCTCTTCAATTTGAGCATGAAAAGCACTGACTTTTCCTTGAAAATTGATGTGGATGGCCTGCCATTGTGGTCTTTGTCTGCAGCACCATCTCACTCCTTTAGGAACTAAGTTGTCCTTTTGTAAACTGCTTATTTCTTTGGGCCATTGTCTCTAAAAACTTTTGTAAAACATCAGCTATTTCACCATTGTCTCACCCGAGCTTCATCATAAATTTGATTTTTATTCATGCTTCAGTTATAGCAGAATTCATGTTGCTGTGACAGGAGTGTCTTCCAAACTAATGTCTTATCCTTGCTAGTACCTCAAACGAGATCCTATTCAGTCATGTTGTAACAAGTATGAGTTTAATTTCCAGTCATAGTTTTTTCACTACACATATTTCCATGAGTTATTTGAATACCCTTCATATGTTGGCATGTTTGTATTTGTGTATAGAATAGAACCTGTGAAATATATGTATATATATATCTCGTTTTGCTACCCCAAAAAAACCCAAACATACTGACATTGAGTCCATTCTGACTCATAGCAGCCCTACAGGGCAGGTCGAACTGCTCCGTGGGTTTCTGAGACTGTCACTCTTACAGGAGTACAAAGCCTTGTCTTTTTTCCCAGAACCCGAAAATGTCTTTTGATGAGCAGAAGTTTTAAATTTCACTAAAGTTCATTTTTTTTCACTTCTCTTTAGTGTTTTCGGTATCCTCTCTTAAGAAATAATTGCTTACCCAAGGTCATGAGGATAGTCCCCTATGCTTTCTTCTAGAACCACGCAGTCCAACTTGGCAGCCCCGGGGTGCTGCACATGAGTGACACTCCATTACTGGCTTGCTGATTGTCTCGACCCAACCAGAGGAGCCGCAGAAGACAAGGGATCGGCTTCTGAAAAGCCACGGCATTGACTTGAAAACACTATAAAGTGCAGGTTTTCTCTGTGGCACACGGGACTGCCAAGAATCAAAACTGGCTGCATAGCTGTGTGTGTGTGTGTGTGTGTGTGTGTTCATTTACAATTGAAGTGCCTGCTGCTATGTCAAGTTTTAGCATGCAGACAATTGTGTGCAGGCTTGCTCACTCATGAAAAGCAATGGGTAGACCAGACTGTTGATATTTGATATTTCCAGCAATCAGTCATAGCAGATTTTTAAAGATGTATATATGCAATCCCTGGGTTAGAGGTTATGAATGTCTAATTTAAAGGACAACACCTATTTGCCCTTAAATGCGATGTAAATTTGCCCTATCTGCAAAATGAATGAATTAGCCCCCTACTGACAAACAATTGTGCTTCACAATCACCTTCACTTGCTGCACATGCAGCTTTTAAACCACTGAAAGGGCTTCCTTTTCAATTGGTTGTTATTGCTAGGTTCTGACTCATAGCCACTCTGTGTACAAAACAACAAAGTACTGCCTGGTGCTGTACCCTGCTCACAATTGTTTAATGTTTCAGCCTATTGATGCAGCAGCAACTGTGCCAATTCATCTTGTCGAAGGTCTTCCTTTTTTTTGCTGCCCCTCCACTTCACCAAGCACGATGTCCTTCTTCAGGGACTGGTCTCTCTCCTGACAACTGTCCAGAGTACCTGAGACGAGCTCTCACCAGCCTTGCCTCTCAGAAGCATCCTGGTTCTGCTTCTTCCAAGACCCCTGTTTGTTCTTTTGGCTGTCCATAGTCGTTTCATAGCACTCTTCACCAGCACGACAATTCAAACACATCAATTCTTCTCCAGTCTCTCTTATTCAATGCCCAACTTTCACATGCATGTGTAAAGGAAAGTAAGGCTCGATAAAAACCATCTCCATGGTTCTAACATACTTACAAAATGATCTCAAAGATACACTTAGGAACTGACCTCATTCATAACCCACGGCTGCCTGTCAACTACAGGCCTGCTATGAGTGAAAGTTTCTGAGATAAACAGCCACTGAGAAAAGGAGTAATAAGCACTGACATTTTTAGAACCGCGGCCTGGGCTGAGTGTTTTATCTCAATAGTAAGCCGAACGGAGACACCCGCAAACCCTGCTGGGAATGCAGCTTATAAGCTATGCACTCAGTAAATCCCTCTTAATTGACAGGGAACTAACATTATCTCCTGAA